CACACACACACACACACACACACACACTCACACACTCTCTCTCTCTCTCTCTGTCTCACACACACACACACACACACACACACTCACACACACACACACAAACACACACACTCTCTCTCTCTCTCTCTCTCACACACACTCACACACACTCACACACACCCCCCCCGCAGACAGCTGCATCTCATGAGGAATGTGAGGAGCCGAGTGCTGGGAAACACTCCATATAAGGCCATGGAGGTAGAATCCTGCTTTTATCAATGGGAGGAGCGTGTTTGCTCCACTGAGCCTGAGCTCTGTCCCGCTCGCGCCGGATCTCAGGACAGGACAGGTGCTGCTGCGGAACGACTGCATCTGTTCATCATTCACACTCAATAAACCCCACACGCCTTTCACAGAACAACAGCCGTCGTTAATATTATGAGCTAATGTGTTAAATCTGCCGTGGGCCATTTCTCTGTAAAATAATGAGTGTTTCCAGACAGGTTTCCTCAGGCTCAGACATTATGCAAAAATTTATTTTTATCTTATTTTCTAGTTAAAATATCTAATAATCCTTAAGCACCGCATGAGATATTCAGATTGTTTCCAGTGATTCAGAGCATACAGTAAGACATTCACAAAAATGACGTCTTAATAAACTTTGCTAGTATTATTTCACTTGCTTTCCACATATTCAGATTGTTTTCAGTGACTGCGTGTTTAATACAAGTGACAGATTCTTTCACTTTTTCTTTTTTGACTTGTTTGTAATTAAAACTAGCGAAAATATATTCATATTAAACAAACAATCTGAATATCACACGCAGTGCAGTGTTAAGCAATTTGTTTATTTTTATTCAATTATTTACAAATTTTTTTTTACCGGAAAATAAGAGAAATGACACCAAATAAAGCGTATAAAGAAGTAGTTTTTGCAGTGAATGTCTTACTGTATGCTCTGAATTCATGCGAAATGTAAAATCTGTGGTTAATCACATTATTGCCAAAAATTATTTATTATTAAGATTATAATAATTGTGTCTACCGACAGTACTAATTATATAAATAGATAAATAAATACAATAATTTACATATTAATGATAATAATAATAATATATTAATAGTTTTCTTTTAATTTTGTTAAAGTTTCAGTAATTTTGTTGTGTTTTATGTTTGTGTCTATGTAGTTTTAATTATTTTCTATTTCTATTTCAGCTATTATTTATTTTATTTCAAGTAACAAAAAAAGTTTTTAATGGTTTTAATTTAACTCTAATAAACCTGATATGTATTCATAGAATATATGTGATGCCAATCCCAATCACAGCTGAATAAACCTATTAACTGCTTCTATTTACAAACACAGCATGAGATCTGACACATGCATTCTGATCAGTGAGATCAATACTTCATCCAGACCGAGAGCACAAGTAAACATGAGCTGTTTGGGTTCCAGACGGCGCTGAAGCTCTGTGTTTGACTGGAGAAACGCTGCAGCTGAACGTCTCGAAGAGCTCTCGCTGAAGCACCGTCATTTACAAGTGATTCATGTCTGACCGGATCACATCAACAGACTCCAAAGAGAGGGTCATAACCAGTGCAGCACTATTTATACTCACTATCTGCTGGAGGACGAGCGAGGAGTGCAGATGTGAATCACTCTAGTAAACACGGTAAAGACGCAGATGGACCGTCTGGAGAAGAGGCAGATCAGAAGAACAAACACGCGCCGCAGACGGGAGGAATTAAATACTGGAGCGCTTCGATATGGCAACAATAACTCTTCAGCGTGTAGATTTTGGACCGACTCGAGAGTCTTTGTGATTCATAGATTCTTATAAAATGGATAGTTGATTCTGATTGGCTGAGCCGCGTTCGAAGCTGTTGTAAATGACTCTACAAAGTAACATACACTTTGTTTACGTTTGTCTGTTGCTCGGCAACCACTTTGTTGCAACCACAACTGTCTCTGAGGAGCTACATTGTTTGGTGGAAGAATACTGTTTTTATTAATATCATTACACTTTATTTGCTCTGTTTTATTTTGTGAAAACCACAACTGTTTCTGAGGAGCTACATTGTTTGGTGGAAGAATACTGTTTTTATTAATATCATTACACTTTATTTGCTCTGTTTTATTCTGTGAAACCTTACTACGTATATGGAATAACCGTTTTATAAAAGCAATAATCCCCTTGAAGCCGTGGTTTACAGTGAATTTAGAACAGCTAAGGGGCGTTGTTATGCGAAAAATGGTTATTCCATATACGTAGTAAGGTTTCACAAAATAAAACAGAGCAAATAAAGTGTAATGATAATAAAAACAGTATTCTTCCACCAAACAATGTAGTACTTTGTAGAGTCATTTACAACAGCTTCGAACGCGGCTCAGCCAATCAGAATCAAGCACCGGAACTATCTGTTTTATAAGGAAAGACGAGGCCCAGCAGAACATCTCAATTCATGAACGAAGAGCCGCAGACTCACCTTGGTTTCTCCCAGACTCTCGGATTCGGACACCTGGTATGTGAGATCGGTCTCCTCGAAGCCCGTGGCACTCATGCGCTGGTCCGTGGACGGGTCGGAGCGCGGCGGAGAGTCCGGAGAGTTCAGGCAGGTTTGGATCAGAGCTTTGCCCGTCTCGCTGGTGATCATGGGCTGCAGCTTACGCGTGGCGAACGTGTAGACGTGCCCCGTCTCGCTGGCCACCAGCAGCAGGACCTGAGTTCCCGTGAGCGTGGAGAGCTCGTACGCCTTCAGAGACACACACACACACACACATCAGACCTCACAAATCACATGTCTAGAGTTTGAGCTCAGGCTTTTAAATGTCAAATCAAAGGAATAGTTCAAACTAAATGATGTAGATGAGTTTGTTTCTTCATCAGGTTTGGAGAAATGTAGCACTGTGAGGGTGAGGATATTTTCAGAAAACTGACATTGTTGGGTGAACTATTCCTTTAAAGTCAAGTTTTATGAAATACAGATCACGTTTTGGCTTGCTTAGATGGGGACACGTAATATTTCTCAATAACATTATTGACTTGTATGATGACATCACTGTTTTCTCCAGAGCTGCTTTATAGATGAATTGAACTCGATCCATATTAATTGATGAACTTCACAGTTATTAAATTGAACTGAATCAACAATGAACTGACTTTAACTGAAATATTGACTATTGTCCACTTTTTTTGTTTGCATTACTGAAACGTTATTTTCTTGTTTGACACTGTAAAGCTGCTTTGACACAATCTGTATCGTATAAAGCGCTGAAGAAATAAAGGTGGCTTGACAGATTGTTTCACATTAATAAAGAGGAAAATAACAGTGTTGCAAAGTTACAGAAGTTGTTTATGTATGGAGACTGAACTGATGTTTGTAATGGCTCTGACATGATGGAGAATCTAACATCAGTGTTTACTAACAGATAACCGGCGGAGACGGTTTAACAGGTCCAGACGAGCGTTCGCTCCAGACGCAGCTGAAACCATGTGAGATAAGACTCTGTTAATAGAGCTGCTGGTCGAGTCCATCAGTTCTGAAGAACAAAGCATCATGTGCAGAGATCTAGACTAGAACCCGAACACCTTCAGTCATCACCAGTGCCTTCGTTAGATCAATGCAAACACACTGTCATTTCCACATTATTTCTCAAAGTGAGACTTCTGATTCATTAGTCGCGATCGCTAAATAACTGAGACTTACAACATGCAGTAAACTATAAAACTAGCCGCGCTACAAACCAGAGTGTTTATAATACATTCACATAACAACAAATACCAGTTTAGAACATCAAGCAGCATAACAGACTGTTCTCGTGCAGCTCAAATAACTGGAAGTACATTTGAGTTTGATATTCTTTATGATTTTTAGGGGGTTTTATGTTACTACATTATATTTATGAAATAATTATAATCCATTTATTAGCTGTGAACCACTTTTTGAGCACAGACCTGAAACTTAAGCTGTGGTGAACCTTGAATGCTTTTAAAACACAGACTTAAGTTCAGTCGGGTCTCTTTTTAAAGAAGACACTTCAAGATTATTGCTGAAGTGAAAAGTCAAAAAAGTGAAACAAAAAAAAATTTGTTACAGAGGTTTAAGATTATTATCATGATAAATGCACAGAAACAGTTGTGTTCCAAATTTGAGGTTGATATTTTCAAAAATAAATAAATAAATAATTTTTTTTTATTTAAATAAAAAAATAATTAATTAATAATATATATAGGCCTATATATATATATATATATACACACACATATATATACACACACACACATATATATATACACACACACACACACACATATACACACACACACACATACACACACATACACACACACACACACACACATGTTTACGACCCATGTGTTTAGGGTTAGCTGCTTCACTCACGAGCTTGAACGTAACGATGGGAAATGAGACGCACACAAACTCTCTGGAAGGAACGTTTGGTCTAAAAATTCTGTGAGTGACACGAGGAGGAACTCTTCTGTTGGATTACGCTAAAATGGCCAAATCACTGATGAACGACAGCTTAACCGTTTCCAGATTGAACAGGCTCGTGTGCGCTCCAGATAACGGCTGGCGACAGGTTCAGAAAAACTCTCGTTCCTTCACTTTCTCAAACCGTAATGAATGGAAGAATTCCCTTTCCTCAGGAAGACTACCAGCAGCTCTCTCCTTCCAATCCATCATGAAGATCAGGAGGAGGACCCGAGAGAGACACCCGCCACACTTCGGTTCAGCTGAACCAGGAGCTGATGAAAGATCCTCAGACCTGCTGAACTACAGCCAATGACGGGGACTGTTACTCCATCTTAAAGGAATAGCTCAGCCAACAGTGAAAATGTGCTCCTCTGCAGTGAATGGGTGCCGTCAGAATGAGAGTCTAAACATCACAATAATCCATGGCTTGTAAACGGTGCTTGATCTGTGCAGATTTCTCTCCTGATTCAGAACACTTTTTCACTGGAGGAAGCGTTATTATAGACTCTATGGTATTTTAGTTAAAAGCGTCTTAATGCTGGATGTGTTTCAGCTTTTGTCTTCTCCAGATGTTAACTGATGGACTGGAGTGCTGTGGATTACTTGTGGATTATTGTGATGTTTTTATCAGCTGTTTGGACTCTCATTCTGACGGCACCCATTCACT